CGTTTGTTTGTTTAATGGCATATCAACTCCTTATGGGTCATTTAATGTTGAAATTTAATTTTCTTGGGAACTTTGAAATAATAATAGTATGATATATGTTATTTTGTTTTCACAACTGAATATATGGTAGATGATACTCAGCTTTTGTACATATACATGTTTGAGTGAATGTAATTACTAGAGGCAGTGATGTGTGTTTCATTTTGCAGTTACATTTTGGAATAGTTTGATTTAAGAAATTGTAGGATATTATATGGCTTAATGTCATGAAAGGGTTCTTTCATGTTGGTTGTTTGATTTTGTTTAGCTGCATATCAACACCTCCATGGGTTATCTAGTGCCAAAATTTAAATATTTTGAATGCAATTGCATGCTTTCAATGATAGATAGAATATATTGTTGGTCATTTTGCTATAAAACATATTATTGCTCATTTTACTACAAAAATGTATTTTTATACTTTCATAGTGTTTTGTTTTTGTTTGGGTGGGGTTTCCCTATTTGCCCAGAGCTGGGACCCTGACAGGTGCTACCACCATGAGTCAGGGTGAACCTGGGAACAACAACAATTAAGAAGTGGTTCCACGCTCATCAAAACCTCCAATCTCCCAATGAGGTCTTGCTGCTGGATGTAGTTTAGTGTCATACACAGGACTATGTACTTTTGTAACCTTTTTCTTTGAGTATTGGTCTCTCTTACATTATCATTTGAACATTTGTTTAAGGCATCCATTTTTTTTATATATTCATTTTAGTTGTATTTCTCTATGTAGAACCCTTTTCACCATGCGTTGACCGTTTACACACTGTTCTGAAACGGTCTTCCTTTCTTGGAACTTACACTGCAACATTTTAATATATTCCTGTAGAAAATTATTTACCACATTCTTTACACATTAAGACTCTTGGTTTCATTTATATTTAGTTTTGTTATATTTCTTCTTCCCCCATCTATTATATTTCTAGTTATTTATTTTCTTAGTTTTAACCTTTTAGCTTTTAATAAACCTGCTGATGAACAGAACTTTTAAAGTCTTAACTGATGTAAGGCATTTCTCTGGTTGTCTGACGTATACATGCATGCAAGACAGATGTGTACTGGAGAGGGGGCAGAACAAAAACACAAATGGATGCTTATCATTAGAATCAGAAAGAGAGTTGAAATTTTTACAACATTAAGAAGGCTTGGAGAATTTGACACTCACAGGGCATATTGAAGGCAAGAGGGTGACAGAAGAACAATGAGTAACCTCCCTCATGAGTTTGTGTAAACAGGGCAGTACAAGGAGGAGAGGGACAGTAAAAAAAAAACAAAAAAAAAAACTAAACAAACTAGCCCAAATATTTGAGAAATCTTATTAAAGAAAAATATGAACTATCCAACAGGGTACAAATCTGCATCAACCCTTGCCAGAGGTCGTATATTTTTCTTTAATGAGATTTCTCTTATATTCAAGCTGTTAGATGTAAATAAACGAATAAATATACAGTTTAATAAATAAACTAAGCATCTACTCAAATATGATAGATGTCCACTATAAATAACATTTAAAGTGGTAAAATCTGTCAGATTAATAAATAAAAAAAACAATACTTCTTTAAAAAAATTGCTCTGTATATAGCATGAGCGTGAAACCCTGGTTACAACTAGAGCCATCTTTTCATAGGATTTAATGTTGGTAAGCATTTTTTGCTTGGTCTAGACAATCTAAGCTTCAAGCACTATACTTCATTGAGTAGGTAAATTTGTCTTTAGGCCTTTTTCAGTATTGTCATTATCTGGATAAGATTTTTAGGCTTTGGCAAGTTGTCTGTTGGTTTCATCAACAGTTTTTGTTTTTCCTCTCCTATATATATATATATATATATATATATATATATACATACATATATATATATATTTTGATAGCTGTCTAGTGTTGGTTAAAATAAGTATTGTATTAATGTTTTTGTTAAAATTGTTTTGAGGATTATCCTTACAATTAATTTTATTTGGAGTAATCTTTATTTGTTTCTCAACAATATAGTAAGTGAATCCATTGTTAATAAGAGTTTGTTTAATGCCATTATTTCAGAAATGCGTGGAATGACAAGATGAGTTCAACTCTGTTTATAATTTTTTTTTTATTACAGCATTTATTTTTTTTTTATGTCTGGAGATATTCACTTAAAATTAAGGAGACAAGTGTTTGAGCTTGCAGCTTTTTGTATAAAGAAATTGTGGCTATTGGAACCGATTAAAATAGAAGTATTATTTAGGTTAAGTTTGGAACTAAAACAATGGACAGAATTACTTTCTAAAGTTTCTTTTATTTTGTCTAGATTTTTGGATATCAAAACTATCATCTATATATCTCCCATATAAAGTTGCTTTGGCTTGATTTTTAAAAATTAAATTTTTGAAGTGAGATATATAATAACTAACATTAGAGCCCGGTGTTGCCCGCGGATGTAACAGTAAGAGATAGATCAAGTATCAACCATCATAAAGACTGAAAAATAAAATTGACAAAGATTATTGTTTAAGGTTGACGGACACGCATGTCTTAATTAGTTTTTATTTTTTTTTTACGAATTGGTCAAACCCAAACATTGTTTTCAATCATTATGAGTCTACTGATTGAATAGAATTTTATTATAAACAATTGTCTTGTAAATGGAATTTTTAAAGCATTCTGAATGTAAAAATAAAGAAAAAAGTGTGCAAGACAATAAGAAACACTACCTGCCAAAAAAAAAAAAAAAAGTGAAGTTTTGTTGAAATCGGTTGAAAAATGTAGGAAATCTGATCCCATATATAAATGAACACAGACACACACTCACAAACAACCTGGATTTTATAATAAATATAACTTGATATGAGTTGTCCCCCTTTAATTCTCGATAGCGATGACTCGTAATCATGTTTTCAAATTGATTTTGTGCAAAAACAATTGTTTTTCCAATTTTTGGTGCTGTCAGAACCACCGCAAGGTAATTTTATGTAGTCCTGTGAAGTTTTGTTGAAATCGGTTGAAAAATGTAGGAAATCCGATACAATATATAAACGAAAAAGACACACACACACAACCTGGGTTTTATAATAAGTATGATTAAACACTTTTGGGACAAGAGGAGAACCCATTATAATGTCAGGTTGCATGTAGATGTTACATGCATATTGCATTTTGCCAAAATTTGATCATCCAGAGTAATTCCTGAAGATAACATATTCAAAGCAAGCAGTCTTTGTAATTATACTGCTCAATATCAGTAGATTGAGCATTTTATATATATATATATATATATATATATAAAAAGAGGTGCTGAAAGATTATGATGGGTGGAGATATCTGATCAAGCCACATTTTTAATGACATGGGCCACGAACTGGCTAATCAGATTCATGATGAGCAGAGATAACATTTTTAATGTTATGGTCAATGAACTGGCTGATCAGATCTATGATCATCAGAGATAACAAATCAACATTTTTAATGACATGGTCAATGAACTGGCTGATCAGATCTATGATGGACAGATATAACAAATGATCAAAATTCAAATTAAAACAAGTGTAAAAATTGTGAAAATTATATAAGCAACTGTGAATGCAAAATAATTTCAGAAACACTAAAAAATAAAAGTAATAATGACAAATTATGGTCTAAATTAATAGAATACCACTCTAAAATACTCGGACTTCATAGTCTACACAAAATGCATAAAGCATTTGTTCCAATGCAATCCATCACACCTGGAAATGGAGGTGCTTTCCATAAACTGGCAAAACACCTCTTGTCATATTAAAAATTCAGGCAACCTGGTTAAATAACTGAAAGGGATAAATATGACAGATTAACTCATGGTTAGTTTAGATAAATTCCTTTGTACCATAAAATCAGTTGTTCCTATCAGATTTCTTGAAAAACCTAAGGAATTTTTTAAAATATCATTTGATCATAATCAGGGAATTCTGAATGAAATAGTGATATTATTTGAAACATTAATCTTGTCCAAAGGATAGTGTTTCTGCTAGTGCTTAAAGAGAATAAAAATAAAATAATTTAAAAAAAAAAAGTAAAAAGGTCTTAGTGGACAAATATATTTTTCATTAAAAGTGAGCATATAACATGTATATAAAACAATGTATATCCATATGTTTTTTATGTCTAAAACTTTTGACATAAAATCAAATATTAAATTGATCCAGTGTCCTGAGAATGAAACTTTGATTATATACAGAAGTATTAGTCCAAGCATAAATAATCCTGACATTTTCTTGTTTTTTTTTTGTTTTTTTTACAGATATAATAGTCCTAAAATAAAGAGAGCAGGAAAACAACAGGAAATCTGGTAAATATCAAACAAAAGAACTATTGAGAACCTTTAAAAAAAACAAAAAACAATTAAAACTTAGTGATTCACTATGTGATGAGCCAATGTTGATTTAGGGCCTACATAACAGATGTGTAAGTAGATCAAAAACCTTTTGTGCCCTTTTAAGACATTGTGTGAAATTCCCATGACAAATCTGGTATAACTCTCCTCTGTGCTGTGTTCATTCAAGGCATAGGTGATTATGGCTCCCCACAACTTCTTTGTAGCTTTTTACTAAGTTTTTTTTATATATATATATATATATATATATATATATATATATATATATATATATATACATCCATCCACACCATCACTCCTACTCTCTGTTCTGCCAATCACATCTAGAATATCTCTTCTAGTTTTCTATTTTAAAATTTTTATAGATTTTCTACAGCTTTTCTATAGATTTTCTACAGGTTATATAAAGCCAGAAAATATTTTTAGATTGTTAGAATTGGGGGGGGGAGATAATGGTTTCATGATAAAAATCTTGCTAATTAACCCATAGCTGGGGGAGAAGAGGTGGATTAATACCTTTTCCCAAGGGTATTTGCATGCAAATGAATATAACGAACAGGAATCGGAACTTGGTTGTCCGATTTACAATTTTGACCCATTACACTACTCACACATCCAAGCTTACAGTATCTGGTATTCCCAAGTGGTCACCCATCGAGGTACTAACCAAGTTTGACATTGCTTAACTTTGATGATCATATGGGAATCAGTGTTTCAATGTAATGTGGCTATAAGCCTGCTTATTTCTAGTACTGCTCAGTTATTGCTTGCTCTGTTTCTACTAAGTCCAAGTACACACTACCTAGACTAGAGATTGAACTCACAATTCACAAACCAATATTCTAAGCTACTAGGCTATTATCCCGTAGGACAATTCTCTGTAGAAAACTTGGAGCCTTAAAACTTATCTGCTGATGAGTGCTGCTGCTTCTCATGCTTGACTGCACTCACTTCATAGATATTTAAAATTTTTTTGTATTAGTTTGATTTTTGTATTTTCAATTTGTAGTTCGCATCTCAGGCTGTTCCTTTTGCTAATAAACATACATTGTCTTCTTACAATTGATGTTTAGTCCTTTCTTTATTTTCATTACAACCTTTTGTATGGATTCCTACTAATGTCAGTTTATATGTGGGTACATGTGCACTCAGTTTGTTGGCTGTAAACTGAGAGCAAACAAGAAAGTTCTGCACATCATAGTCAGGCACTGACTGCCTCACTATTTGGGCCTTGTGCCAGATGAAACCAAACTTAAAAAAAAAAAAAAAAAAAAAAAAAAATTTGTTAGGAAGTTCAGAGTATCTGTAGGTGATTTTCAAACCCCCCAAAAACCCATGATTTCAAATTCCGATTTTTAAGGCAGGCAGATCAGTGATATCTATGAGGAAAATTGAAGTCGCACAATCTTACTAACTCATTTTTGGCTCTGTGCACTGTCATATAATTACAAAACTATTTATGTAAATGCAGAAACAAAAACTTAAATGTACTAATGTGAAAACATTTTTTTAAAAAATAATTTCAGAAGTTTGTGTGTGTGTGCGCACACATGAGAGTAGTTAAATCAATAAACTCACAGCCTAATGCTGAAAAAGCATTTATTTCATGCAACAAATGCTTATTTTTCAATACAATCTTTGTCAATGCACTTAACAAAACATTATATTGTGAGTATTTCTAATCAAATTCTGCTTTTGTGTCAGACGATGGACATTAGAGTTATGACTTTGTAAAATAATTGATTTCCTGTATCTTAATTCAATGTTCAAAATTAATGAAGAAAGCTTTAATTATAGGCTTTAAATATAGTAGTACTATGACTTCCTAGAGCCTTCTGGAAATTTATGCTGTGCATTTTGTGGGGCCATAGCCCCACAAAATTCATGTCATAAATGTCCAGAAGCACTGATTGGGTTGTCATTTGGATAAGGTAAATAGGAGAAGTGTATTGTGTTTGTAATAAATGTTTTTCTTTGTTTCAGAGTATATAAGTTTTCTGATTGAACAACATTGATTTATTCTCCATGTATTCATTTTTAACCATAATGTCTCATAAAAAAAGTGTTTCTACCATTGAAAGAAACAAGAAAATCTGGACAAAGAATCTCATAAGATTTCAAGAATCACATAATAAAAGAAGAATTGTTCCACTAGAAAAACAATCAGTGGAAAACAAAAGCTGGATACCCACTTAAAATCCAGACTGTTGGCCGCTATCTGTTCCTTGGAGCATCCATCAAAGGAAGGAAAGAATGTATAAAGGAAATCACTAAAGAAGTAACAAGTTAACATAAAAATTAAATTTCCAAAATTTATCAACTCAAGTCATACAAGAAAAACTGGATCAAGTGCTGAACGCCTACGATGAATGTATAAAACAAAAAAAATATGATCTATTGAATGACATCACAAAAGAAACTGTTGAATGTCTGTGTAGTAAGGACAGACAGTTATATAATCTTCAGATTGAAAACAAAGGACATGTTGGATATATAATTGGAAAGACTGTGATTTCAAATATTATTCATCTATCCAAAAGAAGAAGAGTGACCTTGAAGCAAACTTCAACAACAGTAACAACAACAAATTCTGAATCAGTGAATATCAAGTGTCTGAAAGTTCTGAAGAACAACCCACAAGAAAAAGGAAGTATAGCAAAACCAAAACTGCGACCAAATTAGTAACATCTTGAAACTTATCAATCAGTAAAGCAGTAAATGCTTGTCAGCAGTTATCTCAAAAAGAGTTTAATGTTGAGACACCTTCTCAATCTGGTATTTACAGATCCACTATTAAAAAAGCTGTTAAACTTAAAGAAATAAAGAAAACACTACACTTAGAAAATTGGTCATTGCATTTTGATGGTAAATGAATTGATGGCCAAAAATATCAAATGCTTGTTTTGAAGAATGACAGAAGAGATGTACAATACGAATGTGAACACTGGAAGCAGGAATGGGATTGTTATTCAGTTACAAAAACTATTTGCTTAAAAGAAACTGGAAGAATCACAATTCATTGACTGTCAACATTGAGTGCTTCATGTAGTAATGGATGACAAACTTGGAGGAAACATCACATTATTCAATATTGAATATCCAATGAACTTGTAAATAACTATGAATAGCTTATGAAGAATTTCAAGAATGGTAAAGAAGAGATTACTGAAACAGCAAGATGGTGTGATGATATGGAATTTCTAAAAAGAACTCAAGTTTTGTTTTTTCCAAAGAAACTGAAGATTTCCTAAAGTGAAGTTTCAAAAAATACTTAAGTAGTGCAAGATGGAATTTTAGAGCAATAGTAGTTATTTTGGCATTTATTCATCTACCAGAGAAAAGAGACTCACTACTTAAAATTTGTAGATTCATCTCTTATAGATGGGAGGACCATTGGTTTGCTGACCAAATCTACAATGCAGATGATTATCACAAGTTATGTAGCGGCTTGCAGGTTAAAAAAAAAAAAAAAAAAATGTATTAAACTCTGTGAAAAAGTTTGGGAATCCAGAACCATAGAGACTGGAAATTCCCAGAACAAATCAATATGCAGAACAAGGAATCATGTGCCTTCAAGAGCTTTATGATGTTTGTAAAAAAGAAGAGAAAGTTTAGCTTATGTTTATTTTGTCTAAGAAAATTTATATATTATACCATAATTATGCTAAATATTCCATTCTTTTTCTTTATGTAGCTGTTCTTACTTGTATATGGAAGCTTGCAATTTTTGTTTATTTGTAAGTTTGAATGTTATAAACTGTTAAATGCAGTAAAAATATGTAAGTACTATATAATTAGATCATTAGCAAAATGAAAAATGAAGTTTGTGAAATATTTTGATTTTTTTATCCTTATTGTAGAAATGGTAAAATCGAATTTTAGATTTCAGGTAACCTTTTTCAAGAACCAAAACAAATTAATGATTTTTTTAATACATTTGGACAAAAGTTCAATTTATAACACAGGGTTACACAGGGTTCAATTTATAACATAGGGTTACAAAATGTCATAAGCAATTCTCAAGTATTACAAGTATTGAGAGAAAGACACACATCACATACACACAGTGTGAGATGCAGAGAGACACACAAACATGCACACATACACACTGTGCAAAACACAGAAAAATGTACATAGTGTAAGATTCAGAAATGTGCAGTGTGAGATGCAGAGATGTATGAACACACGTGAGATGCAGAGACACACTCACGCACAGTGTGAGACAGTCACACATGCACCGTCTGAAATGCAGGAAGAGAGAGAGAGAGACGCAGTTTGAAACAGACACATAATTTAATAAACAGAGAGACAAACACAAACTTTGAAATGCAAAGATACACAGAGTTGAAATGCATACACACAGAGAGTTTGAGATACAAATACACACATGGTTTGAAACAGACGCACACGGTTTGAAATGCAGAGTTGCAAATACACACACAATTTGAGATATAGAGATACACATACATAGTTTGAGATGTAAAGAGAGAGAGAGAGAGAGAGAGAGAGACACACACACACACAAACACATGGTTTGAAATGCTGAAACAGATACACACAATGTGAAACAGAGAAAATTTATGTCCCAATTTAGAAGTTTCTCTTTTATAATTTTTAAATTAGCTCCCACCTAATGCTAACTTTTGATGAAATAGTGAAACAGTAATTCATTCTTGGGCTCAAATAATAGATTTACCTTATGAAATTTAATTTTGTTTCAAGTTTACCTTTATAAAAACTACCAGCAAAGTTACCTCACATTATCAGGGTGGGTTAAAGTGATTCTTAGACTTACTTCTGATGGGTAATTATCTTTTAATAGGACATAATTGCATGAAATGGGGGATATACAATATAAGAGAGTAGAAGTCTATTTGTACCTACAAAAATTCTGGGTTCATCAGCTTTGGTTGCCAATCTAGGAGAAAGACAGCTTACTATATTCAGCTAATGAAAGGATCAGAGTTCTTAATGATCCCAACTGTGATTATTCTACCTACCTATATATATATATATATATATATATATATATATATATATATAATGTATAAATAAAAATATAAAATAAATGAATATACATATCCCACACCGTTTGCACTACTCTGTGTTTCATGCCAAATGAAATCTTCAGGTGCTGAATGTATACTGACTGTTAATCAAATCTAATTTCAAATAATATCAGTTTATTGTAATGCTGGCATAGTTAAGCCCTATTTACATTATGATATATTTTTTCAAAAACATGTAGACTTAAGTATAGAAAATTATTCCGCTACCTTGATCTCAACCTTTCGGTATCTTAAGGTGATTTCAGTCAATTGATTTCCTAACGCTTTATTTTTTAAAAATAAAAAATTTATAAATGCTATATTTAAAAAAAAAATAAATGAATAAGCACATGACATGAGGTGTGGTAGAAGGTGAGGATTAGGAGGAGGGGAAAATCAAGTGTATCGAAAATTTATCAGTGGAGGATATGAAATATATGAAATATACATATGTTCTTTTTATCCCACTTCAAATGAACTCAAAAAAGGAACTTTTTAGTATGTACTAGCAGTAGAGCCCGGCGTTGCCCGGGGATGTAACAGTAAGAGATAGATCAAGTATTGACCATCATAAAGACTGAAAAATAAAATTGACAAAGATTATTGTTTAAGGTTGACGGATACGCATGTCTTAATTAGTTTTTTATTTTTTACGAATTGGTCAAACCCAAA